TTTGGGACCCTTCATTTTACTACTTACACAATGGAAGCAAGTTTGAGTTTATTATTAAGGTACACATTTTAAATATATTTATGGGTATATTTCTACTAATTTTAACATCAAATTAGCTCAAGGAGTAGAAGTGAAGTTGGAATGATCATTGATCATATATACTAGTTAACTCATAACTTTTGGCTCTTCCTCAAAAGATGGGAGTCATGTGTATTTAAACCACTAAGGATACTCGAGAGTAGCCTCAGAATTAAGATGATTCTAAAAGAGGTGATTCATAAATGTTTAATCAATGCCTGCATTAGTATAATAAATTTTACCTCTGAGATCAGATATTCTAAGATATACAACTCAACCATGTTGCAAATGCTCTGTTTATGCCCTTGGCTGGCACAATAGTCCTACAAAGCAGATAACTTTGACAAAGGCTTTTGAGAGCTTTTACTGTTTATATAATAAATGTTCATGTAAGTATGCAGATTGTCACTTAAAGAGATGTTTGCAATGGAAGTCTTCACAAATAATAGACTCATATATCATATATATTTTTAATTAAATTTATTGGGGTGACAGTGGTTAGTAAAATTACATAGGTTTCAAGTGTACAATTCTATAATACATCATCTGTATATCACATCATGCTCGCCACCCAGTCAGTTCTCCTTTCATTTTAGTTATTGACAACAGGTGACAGTTTATGTAATCATTCATTCTGCACTATGGTTGCACACTCAAATACTTATTTTATGGGTGATTATGAAACTATTTATTTTGGTTCACTAACAGTAATATACTGATGATTGGAGAAACTCACTATATGTTCAAAAGCAAGTCACTTCTTTACTACTTGCTGGAAGAATATCCAAGAAAGAAGCAAGAATGGGAGACTGGATTAGTGTTTATGAGAAAATGTTGAACAGAGAATAGAAATTCCTAAGTACAAGTCAGCAGGTTGAAAAGTACAGGAAAGAGTGATGAAGAAAATGGTATACATCTAAAAAATATCAAAGTTTATATTTTTTGTAAGTTACGAATGTATATAATCCTTGGATTCTAAGGGCATGGATAAAATTAATCAATGTCACACTTAAATAGTTCATATTGGTCTGTTAACATCCAGTAGTAAAGTCATTTTTCTCTCTTGAAAATACTAGTCAATAAACTGCCTCATTAGATTGCCCATTCTGGGCTGTACCTAAGGCTTCTTTAACTGTCCCCTGTAGGATTCAGCCACACAGGGATGACGCATGGGAGATGCTGAGAAAACATACTATTTCCTTCTACTTAGCATGGACTACTTGATCCATTACAAGGGCAACTCAAACCAAAAGTATGCTCTTAAATTAGTACTTGTTTAAAGATTGATATTTGGACTTGTTAGTAATACTCATGGGAAACATTAAAAATAGATTGCTGAGGAAAGTGAGGTGCCCTTGTGCATCCAGTGGGTGTGTAAGCAAGTCTGGGAGAAAGGTTGACTCGAATCTGGGGCGCTATGGCCGACGAGCAGCACATGTGGAGGGAGCAGCTGCAGACGTGCAGAAGTGATAAGTCTGTGTTTCCAGATCACCTCCCCTGCTCTTGATTGACGATTACTTCCTTTTGGCTAGAGGCTATGCTGTCAGGCTGGCACCTCCTTCTCCCCAGCGCCTTCTCTCTGCCAGTTTACAGGGGAGTGTTTTGGAGAAAAACTGTCAACACTTCCTTTTCCCTTCTCACAGATTAAATAAATTACATCTGCTTAAATTAACATATGCAGTCTCTGTTGTTTCATGGAACCAGAATAAAATTCTCTGGATGATGACCTCAACTGTTATTTTATCTTCTAAAAATGTATTCAGTTGGAGAAAGGATGTCATAAATGGTGCAAAATCCTTGCTCTTTCTTGGGTTGCAACCTTGAGCTCAGTACTGGCTCTACCAATTACTGTGTGACTGTGAGCAAGTCACTGGGCTTTTATCTCATTTTTCTTCTCTTTACATTGAAGACAATACTTAACCTTCTATAGCTGAGGTAAATACTGAAAGATCTCTATTATCTACATTTAATGAAATACTATTCAAAATCCTATTGCACTTTTTCTTTTTCTCATAGGGTGGAGGAATACTTCTCAAATTCTCTAGGAAAGTAAACTTATAATCAAGATGCTTTTTAAAACGAATGGGAGAAACTTGCCCTACCCAGTCAAAATAACTAAATGTGGTACTGCAGGAAGATAACTTAGGTCAACCAGAGAGGAAAAGGTAGTATGTAACCTAGATACTTTAAATTAGTAGTGGCAGAGTATTGTTCAGTAAATGGGATGGGACACTTAGCTGTCCATTTTGGGGGAAAAAATAGCTAGAAATTTAATTTCTTTTACTCTAGGTTTAATGATTTCCTCCTTTTTTGAGTGTGGATCCCCAAATCCTAAAGGCCCCTTTCATCTACAATAATGCATTATTATAGTTACAGGCTTAAGAATTATACATATAGGTGATAGGTGAAGGCATGAGAGTGACGAGATCATTAAAGAGTACCAACAGGTGTCTGTGGTTGAAATATTGGGGCACACCTACATTTAGGATGCAGGTGGAGGAAAAGGGACCAAAGCTGTTAATAGGACAATGTCAATGATGAACTTATTTTATTTTTAATTATGGAATCCAAGGGAGAAAATGTTTTACTTATTTTATTTTTTTTAAATGTACTAATATATAGTTGGCATATGTTAGTTTTAGGCATACAACAGTGATTTTACATTTAAATACCTTATGATGGGATCAACACAGTACATCTAATAACCATCTGTCACCTTACAATTATTATATTGTTCCCTGTGTTGTATACTACATCCCTGTAGCTTATTTACTTTTTAAACTAAAAGTCTGTACATCTTAATCACCTTCACCTTTTTACACCCTCCCTCTAGCAACCATCAGTTTGTTCTCTGTTATCTATGGGTCTGTTACTGTTTTGTGTACTTGTTTTAAGATTCCACATAAAAGTAAAATCATATAGTGTTTGTTTTTCTCTGACTTATTTCACTTAGCATGCCTCCTAGGTCGATCCATGTTGTCACAAATATTAAGATTTCATTCTTTTTTATGGATGAGAAATATTCCAGTGTGTATGTGTGTATATATATCATCTTCCATTCATCTATCAGTGGATACCTACCTAGGTTGCTTCCATGTCTTGGGTATTATAAAAAATGCTGCAATGAACATAGCAGTTAAATTGTTTTTGTTTTTTTTTATTGTTTTCAATTTCCTCAGATAAATAATCCCAGAAGTGGAATTTCTGGGTCAGGTGGAAATTAATTTTTTTAATTTTTGAGGCATCTCCATACTGTTTTCCATAGTGGCTGTACCAATTTGCAAGCAAACTAACAGTGTACAAGTTTCCCTTTCCTTCACATCCATGCCAACACTAATTTATTTATTTTCTGATAATACTCAGTTCTGACAGGTGTGAAGTTGTATCTCCTTGTGGTTTTCATTTGCATTCCATTAGTGATGTTGAGCCTTTTTTCATATATCTGTTGGCCATCTGTATGTCTCTTTGGAGAAAGGTTTATTCAGGTCCTGTGCCCATTTTTTTAATTTATTATTATTATTTTGATCCTGACTTATACGAGTTCCTTACGTATTTTGGATATTAACCTCTTGTGGGATATATCATTTGTGATTATCTTCTCCCATTAAGTTTATTTTTCATTTTATTAATGGTTTCCTTCCCTGTGTAGAAATTTTTAGTTTGATGTATTCCTATTTATTTTTTCTTTTGTTTTCCATGCCTGAGGAAGCAATACCCCAAAAGTATTGCTATGACCGATGTCAGAGTTTACTGCCTATATTTTCTTTTAGGAGTTTCATAGATTTAGATCTGGTTTTTAATCATTTTGGGTTTATTTTTATATATGGTGAAAGAATGTGGTTTCATTTCTTTGCATGTAGAAGTATCTGTCCAGTTTTCCCAGCACCGCTTACTAAAGAAACTGTCATTTCCCCATTGTATATTCTTGTCTCCTTTGTTGATTAGTTGTCCATGTAAGCAAGAGTTTATTTCTGGGCTATTTTGTTCTATTGATCTATATGTCTTTTTATATGCTGGTGCCGTACTGTATTGATTATTATAGCTTTGTAATATTGTTTGAAATCAGAGAGTGTGATGCCTCCAACTTTGTTCTTCTTTCTCAAGATTGCTTTGGCTATTCAGGGTCCTTTGTGGTTCCATATAAATTTTAGTGTTATTTCTAATAGCTCTGAGAATGCCATTGGTATTTTGATAGGGACTATACTGAATGTGTAGATTACTTTGGGTAGTATGTACATTTTAACGATATTAATCATTCCAATCCATGGTACATTTATTTGTGTCCTTTTCAGTTTTTTCTTCAGTGTCTTGAAAGCTCTGTACTCTGAAAATTACATCTCCTTGTTTAAATTTATTCCTAGGTATTTTATTCTTTTTGATGCAATTGTAACTAACCAGTTTTGACAAGTTATTTAACCAGTCTAAGGCAGTTTTTTTTAGAAATTCCTAGGACCCATCAGCTCCAAATCAAGTAGCCGTCTTCAATCCAGATGTGGAGGGCGCATCTCAGTGGCCCATTTGGGAATCGAACTGGCAGCCTTGGTGTTATAAGCCCATGCTCTAACCACCTGAGCTAACTGGCTGCCCCTAAGGCAGCTTTATTAAATGAACATAATGCTACCTATCTGATCAGTATTCTGAAGATAAATGATTGTGTGTGTGTGTGTGTGTGTCTAAATACAGACACACACACACACACACACACAAGCATAGACACACACACACACAAGCATACAAACATACAGAATAGCACTTAGCAGGAAGTTAGTACATACTTCTGGTATTCTACTGTGAGAAAAATAACAGTGCCCAAGGTATGGCCATGGTGGCATAACTGAATTTAAAGGCGGGCTTCTTTTTATATGTACACAGCTTAATTTTAAGCCACCGTTGTTGACATACAGGCGTCTTTTCTTTTGTAGGTCCTGGATGTAAGTAGAGAAGGCAAAGAAGAAGTGTTCTACGGGCCGACGCTCCCTTTCGCTTCCAATGGGATCGCAGCATGCTTCCTTCCAGCTCCGTATTTCACATGCCCTAACCTTCAAACGCTGCAAGTGCCTCATCACAGGATTGGCACCGTCTGAAAAGCCAATGCTCTGTTAATAACCATGAACAGGAGGGACAACATGGCCTGACTTTTGGATACTGAGCATAAAAAGACTCAGTGCTCAATGCTTCCTTGTTTTGTTTCATAGGTCTTATGTTCAGATAAACAGTAGCAAAAAAAAAAGAACAATTTTCTAAAATACATTACTGAAAATGCCTGTCGCCCTTCTCAGTGTGTCTCATACAATACAATACCGTATGTATGACTTTACTGTGGTATAGCTTAGTGCTGATTTCATGGTCCGTTATTGTTCTATGGGTCCTTAGAGTGTTTTTGTCCACTTTTTCTAACCAGTGCTGTCTCGTACAACGTGACACTGTTGGTAAGTCCATTTATTTCACAAGTACTCTCACCAATGATCTTAAAAAAAAAATCTTCAGTACTTAATCCCTTTATTACTTAAACCTGGGTTTGTAATTTTTCTTTAAAAACGTAACATTATGCAGTCCCACTCAATAGAGACACACAGCATTATGACATCATACATCTTTAAATGCCATATTTTATCAAGGTAATACAAATAATAGAAGTACACTGGAATAGCAGTTGGAATACCCAGACTTTTCACCTTGGCTATTACTCTGTGACCTTGGGTTAGGGGCTTAACTTTCCAGTGCTTCAGTTTTCCCACTTTTTAAGGAGGGCAATTATTGATTTCCAAATTAATTTAGAAGAATGTTGTGAGAATTGAGCAAATGCTCCAAAGTACTTTGCCTAAGAAAAAAAAATGTCATTCAAATGCCAAGGTATTTTACTGTCTTTAGAACCATATAACTGAACAGTGAGATTATTTTTGAAGTTTAAAAATTACTAGATCTATCTGAACACATGCTATGGGATAAATGATTCTGACATCATGTGAAAGAGATATACTAATTAGGAAAAAGGGAGTTTACCAAAGCCTACCATTCCTAAACTTGTACAAATCCTTGCCTCAAATAGTAACTCTCTGAAACATCTCATTTAAACTCATTTAGTGAAAAATGATATTGTATAGTTCGAAAAAATTAGGTGTACTAATTTTGGTACTACAAAGTGCTTTGACCTAAATTTTAACGTAGCATTAGTAGTTCTAATAAAAGTTTTTCCATTTTGTTAAAGAATATGTCAGTCTTGAGCGCTTGTGGAATTCTTCTCCACCACCAATATATATTTTATTACTACCACTTTTAATAATACATAAGGATTTTTTAGGCTAGGTTTTTGGATTTGCTTTGTCTATAACAAAAAATAAAACGACTCAATAATATGTGAACATAAATTCAATAAGTATAAGTAAGTTTTCCCCCTTTCCTAATCTTGTTAAGATCTAAGTCACCTTTATTAAAAGGAAGACTTTACTCTGACTTTTTTCCTTAGCATAGTTTAATCATTTAGCAATCCTTGTCTTATAGGAATTTTTCATTTTATTCATGTAACTATTTTAGGAATCAGAAGTGAATGAATATCATACGATTTTTATCCAAAATACAGAATTCACTAATTTTATACTCGTACATTATAAGATACCTAAAATATTAATTTTTAAATAAATAATTATGTAAAACTTCTGGTTATTGAAACTAAAGGGTGGGAGACTAGGGGTAAGGAATAAAGGTAAATTTTTAAAAGAATAGATTTCATTTACACAACTTTAAGAGTATTTGTACAGTTCTGAAAAGTAAAGTGATGATAATTGTTATTTAGAAGGATGACAGAGAATCTCTTTAAAAGGTATAAACCATTTAAACTAAATTTTAAAAATATCTCACCAAGTCAGGAAAATGGACTCCAGCATTTCACAAATCTTTTCAACAAAGACCTAAGCAAGAAATATTTCAGAGTCATTAAAATTTCTACTTGATATACAAATTTTCCCTCTAGTATAAAGTTTTACCTTATAAAACCATTAAAATCTATTTATAATCTCAGCCCCTAAGTCCAATGAACAAAAAGGAAACAGTCTAACACTAAGCTTGCTTAATGATAACTGAAAGGCAGCCTGAGATTACTCTTGAGTACTTCTGTGTAGATTTCTAATCATTTAAGATCAGTATGTATTTTCAAACCCCTCCTTGGTGAACTTTAACATAGTATTCGCTAATATTACAAAATTGAACTCAGAAATTTTAAAAGCTTTACATAATTTTCAGAAACATCCTTTATAGTTACAGCCAAAGAACAGCATCCAAAGTACAACATATCTCCCCTAGAAAGAAAAACTCAGATCACTTACAATTAGATAATTTTCCTCAAGTTATCAGTAATAAAAGCTAATAAGAAAAAACTGTTTGGTCATATAAACTAAATTCCATTGAAATTATTTCAATGTATATTTTCCGTATAAGTGTACTATCCTACAGTAATTCATCTTTTATTTTCACTCTACAAAATTAAAGACCATAATTGTATTTGAATTTAAGTTACTAATTTGAATTTCCATAAGAAGACCATGCAAGTTCCAACAAGTTACATGTCATTTCAAGGTTTTAATTTTAAAAAAAGTACCACATAGATATTATTAGTGTTCTTAGTGTGGAAGGAAAAGCCAGCAAAGACATGACTCTCTAAAATACTGTGTATGTAAAACACAATAAAGTTCCTTAGATTCCTACCAACAAAATGACAATTAGGTGACAATTAGGGTATTTTACATATTTCCTTCCTGGTTTAACCACTGTTAAACTGTATCCCCTTCAGACACTGCAATAGCTGGAAAATTAGTGTTTTACTATAAAGTATAAAAGCAATAGGAATAAGAAATTATTTCTCCTATTAACATGGTTCATTTTTATTGTGGTTTCAAATAGTCCATCTGTCATAAAGAGGGAAGTTGAATAATCATGGGCACAGTGTAAGTGAAATACATACATTTTTATTATATATCCTTATTATATGCACAAAATAACTTATAAACATGCATATGAAATAAGAATGCCTAAAATTTTTCTAAAAGCACAATTCACAGAGGCAATAAATCAGATGTTAGCACAGCAAAAACTTTAATAAGCAGAAAATGATCCCAATCATTTGGTATTATTTTTGGTAATCTTACCAATATAGTTTATCATGAATCAAAATACAAATCTCTTATTAAATATGTGAAAGAATATGCTACTTTGCTAGCTTCCCAAACCAACTGTTTTAACCAAAGCTTGTTATTTATATCAGGATATTATATACTTGACTGACAAGGCAATATTTTTAACCCTAGGAGTAGACGGCAAATCCGTTTGGGGAAAATATAAGACTTATGTAACAAGTCTATCAATCAAAAAGCAGTGGTTTAATACTTTACAGCTTTTAATGGGGATTCTATATCTACCTTTTATCTTTGAAACACAAGTGCTATGTTAACATGTAGTATTTAGGGAAGGTAGGTTTCACAGAAGCTTTTACCAACTACAGACAGACACTTGTCAAATTTTTAAATAAAACAATCTTAAATGGGAAGTAAAAATAAAAACTCAAAAATTCTTTAAAAGTACATGAAAAGAGGTCTATGTAATTCTAGAACAAAGTAGCTTTAAAGTTTTGTGATAAAGCAAGAAGATAGTAACAATGATGGGAACTGAGTACATACACATAATCTAACAAACTACAAATATTTTTTTACACAGATGCCCAGGAAGAAAAAGCCAAACATGCTTAAGAAGAAAAGAAAATGTACTAGGAATAGGTAAAGATATAAAAGTTTTAAAGTATGAAACTCTTCTAATGCAAATGAACTCAATACTAAATGATTTTTGTACACAGACAATACTCCATGTTTTTTTTTTCTCCCCCATGGACATCTAATTAAATGTTGAATTAAAATTTAAATCATAACTAATTCTGAATGTCTAATAAAGTTTCATTTCATCACGCTGTTTTCCTTCAGTCATCTCGTTTACACTCCATCTGATACTTCACAGAAATGATTTTACTGGAATCCTCTCAGAGTATAGAACGAACATGGCATTCAGTCAGCTTAACAGTATAGTTTTCCTGCTTGAGGTCAGTTTGGACAGAAAGGTAGAGTCAGATGGCAGAAAGTCTCCTGATTGAAGGGGCTAACTATCAACTTATTAACAATGGACGCAATTCGAGTGCCCTGAGCAGAAAAGTAACGAGGAAAGTAGCATTTTAGGAATACTAATGTCAGAACTGTGACAAGGATTAATCTCAGGAAATGAGACCAGAGATTAGGAGATAAGAGATTATACGGCCTAACAGAAAAATGCATGGATGCACACAGCATGGCAAAAAATAGCAAAAGCCTGTACTGCTGATCAACTGAAAATGCGGAACAGTGAAGAATCCAAGATGCTAGGAAGCTCCAAGCCTAAGTAACCTGGGAAAATAGTGTATTCCCTGGGTAGAAAATAAAGGCACTGGAATACGAGGTGACAAGGGCAGTTTGAACCACAGCCTTGAGATTTCAGGAAGCTCCAGCTAGAGAGGGTTAGAGAGAAATGAGTACTAGGAACAGATCTGAGAGAGCAAATTATGAGCTAGTGTTATCTGTTGCCTACTAGAAGAATGTGGAGACAGCAGGTAAGGGCCAGATCATGCCAGTGGGGACAAGGAAGAACATGAGGGTGTTCTCAGAGTACAGGAGGAAGGAGCAGTATCACGGAGGAAAGCGTGCAAAGGTAAAGGGACATACAAATGTCACGGACAGGCTAAAGAGCAGGAGCAATGGAACATACTCAGATTTCACCAAAAAGTGGCTTACACTATACTGGTAGAAGCAGCAGCCTCAGCAATTAGGGGGTATTTAGGGGGAAAAGAATATTAAGGAAGCAGGTTTAAGCTACTCTAAGTCTGGGAATGGAAAAAGACAAGAGAATAATTGGAGGGCCAGTGAAGATTTTCAAGAAAAGGAACTAATTTTTTTTTCAATGAAAAAAAAAACAGCTTCTTTAAAATTTTACTTATAAATAAGAAACATACATATATACATACATAAACCTGTACTGTTACAGACTTTTTGTTGTAACAGATTTTTTAGGTACAAACTGGCTATTCTTAACATCTGCAGATATATACCCTAATGCGTGACTCAGCGATAGCTTTTCTTATTCCTTAAAAATTTCATATACTAAGGAGCAAGATTCTCAAAGATATATTTATCAATCTCCCTTGGAAAATAAAATATATATAGATATATATAGATATATCATATTATACATGATAACCTCTTTAAAGGCATCACCTTAAATAGATAAACTAGTTTAATATGTCACTATCATAATCAAAAGAAACTCATTGCTATGAAATCTATTAAGTAACCTTAAAGAGGTTTTTATCCATTTCATTTGTTGAAGTAATGAGTTGATTTGGAGGGAAAATAAACCATTTGTATGTCATCAAAATAGCAGATACTCCTTTAGACTTCACAGATTACAATTAGGACAGGGCTATTAACTATATTTCACTGATTGCAAAACGTTTCATTTTTAAATATAGTTCTTGAGCCAGAAAAGAGTTGAAATGTTTTCTTGAAGGACTAGAACCATGATAAAGACTAGAGTTCCGAGACGAAAGCAATAAATTATTTAAAAGATAGCAAACATGACACATTAAGAAAACATTGAAAAATAGTAGGATCATTCATCTAGGGACACAGTAAAGAAAGAGGAACAAAATTGAGGTATTCTTTACCTTTTGTGCGTGAATATATAATTATGTCTGTACATCTCCAAACAGAAAATAAGCCACCATATATTTTCATATACATTATCTCATTGGGTCTTGCCACACATTGTAAAACAAACTCTTTTTTTTCTCCTTGGAGAAACTGAGGCTCAGAAAGGTTAAGTAAGTTGCTCAAGGTCACAAAGCAGAGCTGAGTTTGAGACCCAGAGCTCTTCTTACTAAATAATGCTCACCATAAAAAGCAGTCAAGGATAAGAGCCCAACTGGTAAAGTAAGTCTGGATGACTGAGTTAAAAAATTGAGAGATGATTGCTACTAAAGGAACTAAACTGGTTCCCTATAAACAAAAAAGATGCTAAGTTATAAGAGGCTCTAACTAAAGAATAAGGAGATAAGTCAGCTGACTTCTCAGACCTCTTCTGTTAATTTGCAATCTTAAGATTTTCCAGAATATTATTAAGCCTCTTCTTAAAGACTCTTGGTTTACTGTCTTCCTGATAGGTCTTTTAATGGCAACTCCAAAAGAAAGGATGAGTAGAATAAAACATCTGGCAAGTGTTAGAACCTTAACATAAACACTGCTGGCTTAAGTTTAAAAAAAAAATTATATTTTACCTGTATAGTCATATAGCCAGATTCAGTCTCATTCCTCACAGTTAAGTGTGCTTGGTAAGAGTTTTATTTATTAACTTGCCTGACACATAGTATAAAAAAGGATAACAAATAAACAGTCCCATCTCCTGACCACACCCCTCCAAAAAAACAAAATGAAAACCAGGATACTTGAAAAAGTTTCCTATTAAAACATAACTTGTAAAAAACAAAAACAAAAAGAAACACAAACAATTCACAAGGCAAAAAGTCACATTACAGTACAAAGTCCATGGGTCAACCTGCTTAGATGTCATACACAGAAAACATCCCCAATTAGAAAGTTCTGTAGTTTAAAATCTCTTCAAAACAGAATTCAGTTTTGCTAAGTTCCAAAGATCCTGTAACACAATTAACCTCTATTTCCTTATTTGTATATTTTATACTTACAGTTATATAAGGTAAAAATCCTAGAAAGTGTTTTGAACAGAACATTATACAACCAATTAATTAGGAGTTAGAATGATGTGAAACAGCATTAGATACAAGAAAAGACGAATCGCAAAAAGCACTAGATGTCGTCATTCTCCAGTCTCTGTATCTCATCTTGTCCCACTTGTCCTAGGTGAGATAAAAGTTGGCTATAGGCTTTCCTGTATAAGAAAAAAGAAAAGAAGGCAGATATATTTATTACCCTCCCCATTATTTTTCATTTAAGTATTTACAAATTGAACCTACCTGAATGTGTCTGTACAAACATACACACACACACACCCCAAACACACTCCATGTGATTATAGTACTTTGATTCTTTAACAACCTTTGGGACATATGGAGTCTAGTATAAGTGCTGACCCCTCTAAATCAATCTTTTCAGAAACTACAGGCTTATTTCCACAAGGTTGCATTACTCTAAATAGTTCAAGCACTATCCTCAGTTGGATTGTAAACCTATAAGAAAAAAAAAGGTTTATTATCTATTTGTGACCAAAAACCATAGTATCTAATTGGGTCACTCAGCCTATTAACTGGACACACATGACATTGCTGATTCAGCAAAGCAAGCATCCCTCAAAGCGCTGATTTGCCACCGTGGATTTTATACAAAAACAAGGCACCTGAGGCTTGAGGTCCACTTCCCAATGAGGGATACAGTGTTTTGAGCAACAGCAGCACTGCTGAAATATACAGCATTCTAAGGTGGTCACTTTGAAAAGAACAATATGTGAATGGATGTGTCAATCACATCTGAACATTTCCCAACTCAACACACCCCAAATTTGGGGGAATGGGAAAAGAAGGCATTTCTAGAAAGTGAATCTAGATTTTATAATCATTGTTCAAAAGAACATAATGAAATTATCACACATACCTTTGTTTGATATTTCTGCCAAGGCCCCATTTCCGCTCTGAATCCTTCAGAGATTGAGTGAGGGTAGTAATCAAGTGAATAACAAGTTGCTGGTCCAATGTTGCCACTGTTTCTAAAATGCTGTAAATCTGATAATCGTATCTCATTCCATAATCCTGGATAAACTGCCTGAAAGTAAATCAAGTTACTTAAAATTACTTCTGGGGCAATTCCTTAGGCTGCTGTCTACATGGTAATCAGCTAGAACCTGAACACAAGAAAGATCACTTCCTATAAGATTACCTTAAGAATCTAGATGCCACATGAAGACTGTTTATAATAGTTAACAATGCAGGACAGACATGGCTTATTTCAGCCTAAGCCGGGAAGAAAGTGATGGCATTGGGAGGAAGAGGGAAGAGTTGGAATCCCAGGAGGGAGAATAAGGGGCAAAATCTAAGCCCAGGGACTTTTTTGCAATAGTCTGTATATTACAATCTGGGTAGTAAGGATGTGGAAAGAAGACTAAGACAGAAAAAATCGAGTCTGGCTTCCTAGATGTTTTTTTTTGTTTTAGTTCTTCCTAACTCTAGATAAATTAAATAATATTTTTATGAGGAAAGCAAGTTATTTGCAATACATTTTTATATTCCTTAACTGAACAAGAGATTTTAGATGCATAGGAGACATTTATAAATAAGAATTATGTAATTTAGCCCTCAAATTTCCAACCCCCCCCAACAAAATAAAAGCCACCTAGCTTAATAAATTGTACATAAACATGCATCCTTTATTCATATAAAATCTTTTCTCCCACATTAGGGTTTTACAGTTTCCACAAATGCATTATTTATTTCAAGTGATCTGATCAGAATTTTTAAAAACTGTAAACACTTGACAAGTGCCAATTATGTGATAAGAATAAAAACTGAGGAATCAAAGATCCAATATAGAATGAAGAAAATGATCCCAAATTATTTATCATGGTAGTGTTAGGGTAGAGGTATTCATAATAAAGGTAAACTAGTAGAAACTGTAAGAAACAAATACTTAAAAATACTGCCCTAACAGAAAGCACAAAAGAAAGAAAGGCAGGGGGAAAAAAAAGTTCCTCAAGCTGCACTGTTTTTCTTGTGAACACATAACGATCTACTCCTACGAAGTCTAAGCTTCACAAATGAAAGATAAGTGAGCTTTCTGGGTCAACAGTATCTACAGCAAGTAAGACACCGTGCCGTGAACTTACACCGGGGCCTGAGTTAGCGTAGCTGTCTGAAGAAGCTGTGCTCCTGTCATCACCACCCACGTTTTCTACTTTTCCCTCTTAAACACATGCACAAGTCTTCCTTACTAAACACTTGGGTGAATTTTAAGTCCGCTCACTTTAGCTTTCTCCCTGGCAAGTTTATTTCTTTAATAAAACCACACAATGTAACACAACTACTGCCAAAAATACAATAATTGAAATACTATAAACAAGTAGTAACACATTATGTTTGGATAATTTGTTATTTAAAAAACATGTTGGCTGTCAAACAGCTGGCAAGCATCTCCTTGCCAGTTGGCGTCTTTTCCAGTTACCTAAACACTGAAGTCAGCCGGGCGGCCGGTTCGTCTCCTGACCCCGCTTGGCAGGTTCTCACCATGTACTGCAGGTTCTCCGTGGCTAGCCTTTTAACTAGGAGGGAAAAGGACAGCATTGTAACTGTGTCTGAATGGACCATCTGGAGCCTCATTTTTATCAACGCTCTCAATTTAGAAAAATATGTTGTTTTCTTAAAGTATATATGTGTGTGTGTGTGTGTGTGTGTGTGTGTGTGTGTGTGTGTGTGTATATGCTTTCTTATTTCTCAAAACGAAATAGTTATGGGTTTTTGTTTTGCTCAAAAGCATATACCCCGATTTGTCTCCCTCATTTTAAGAAAATATAAAAAGCCCAAGAGTCTATTTTTTTACAATCTTATAACTTAAAAATTACATATGAAGATATGTCTTTCTCTTAGAAAAGAGCCCATATTCAGAAAGACTATACCATGCTAATTCTGCAAGCACTGTTACATGCTGAGAAAAGACAGCCTTTAGTAATTAACTGATTTACAGACAAGATTATTTTTTTAAATTCATAAGCATATTCCTCCCATTCATTAATAAACATATATGTAGCAAATTAGAATCCACCAATAACTTACCTTCACTTAAAATTAGTCAACTATTTTTGATGCTACCTTCGTTTCAAACAGCAAAGTTACAAAAAGAACATTTGTATTACTTAAATATTAATATTTAACCAAATCTTTTAAAATTGTGTGCTTATTCATAAAAACGAAAAAAAAAATCAAGAAAGAACATAGAAAATTCAACATGTTCCAAAAGCTACTAACTTTTTGTTGTTTTTGAAACATTTAATATAAGTAGCTGGGGGAAAAGTGCTTTCTCTAACAATAAAAAAAATCAGTAATCCATTATAGCAGGCGCAGAAAACATGATGCACATGAACTTAATATTAAGTAGTAATGTTTTCCATGGCGTGAGGACAGTGGCTAAAGAAGATACAACATACTTAACTTTATTGAAAACATAACTTCTCACATTAGATACAATTCTAGAGTCAATATAACGGGTTCTTTTTAAAAGTGTTTTCTTGAAAAACAAACCCCAAAAGCTCTTCTGTGCAAAAAGTACCCAAACATGAAGAAATAGCCTTCATAACATAGTAATAGCAAGCATTGCTTTTTTTAAATAACAGCTTTATTGAGGTATAATTCACATATCATAAAAACCAACCTTTTAAAATATATAATTCATTGGCTTTTAGTATAGTCACAGAATTATGATGACGCCTCACCACTATCTAATTCAGAAAAATTTTATCACCTCCCCAAAACCTCATACCCATTAGCAGTCATTCCCTATTTCCTTCCTCCCCCAGTCCCTGGAAACCACTAATCTACTTTCTTTCTATCCCTATGGATTTGACTTTTCTGGAAATTTCATATAAATAGAATCGTATAACATGTGATCTTCTGTGACTGCCTCCTTTACTAAGCATGTTTTAAGGTTCATCCATGTTGCAGAATGTATCAGCACGTCCTTTGTTTTGACAGCCAAATAATATTTCATAGTATAGATATACGCTATAATATTTGTACGTTCATTAGTTGATGAACATTTAGATATTATGAATAAAACTGCTATAGCTATTAGTGTATAGGGTATTTTAAAAAAATATTTTCCATCTTTATGTCTTTAATTACACTGAGCTTTTTTTAACTGGGTAATCCTTTTTCTTTAGATTTTTTTTTTTTACAACAGCTTTATTGTCATATAATTCACACACGATACAATTCACCCATTTAACATGTACAATTCAATGGTTTTTAGTATATTTAAAGTTATTCAACAATCACCAGTCAATTTTATAGTATTTTCTTTACCTTGAAAAGAAACCCCACACACTTGAGCTATGACTGACTCCCTATCCTCTGATACCCCTTACCCTAACAGTAAACTACTTTCTGTCTCTATAGATTTTACTATCCTGGACATTTCACATAAATTAAATCATATAATATGTGGTCTTTTGAAACTGGCTTCTTTCACTTAGAATTATATTTTCAGGTTTCATCCATNATTCTTTAGGCTGGACTGGAAGAAAAGACTAGAGATAGTGAAAGTAGCTAGGAGACCCTGACAATAGTCTAGGTCTAATGTGTAAGGAGAGAGGCGTGAAAAGAAGGGAAGGAGACAATTATTTGGCAAAGGGTGGCAAAGGGCAGGGAACCAAGACCATGAAGCTTCCAAACCTGAGTAACAGAACACTAGGAATACAAATTAAAAAAATGATTAGAAGGAAGAATAGATGCTAGACATGGAATTCTGTAAAGAGGTGATGAATAACATCAGATCAGGTCATTAAAACCATCAGGTCATCAAAAACAAAAACAAAAAAATACTAGCTAAGAAGAATATATATCACTATAGCATCCTAAAGTTTAAAAGCTGATTTCATAGGAAGGTAAATTCTATATGAAGACAAAGGAAAGATAATTTCTATTACTGAATCTTCTAAGGTTGCAGTTAAAGGACATGGCATTTAGTGGAAAAATCTCAGGAGTTTCATTTATTTGTCTGCCAAATAAAACTGAGTTACTAAGACAGAGAATAGACTAACAAAATAGGACTTCATATAGCTTCCTTCTTCATATTAGCAATCACATTTTCACTTATTATCTTTTATAAAATACAATTACTGTATCTTATACAGTACAAAATACAATTACTATTTACCTGATAAAAACTAAAACATAAATATACCTGTAAGGCATGTATTAGGAAAGTAATTTCTATGTAGAGAAAAAAAGCAATCTAAAGAGCATTGTCTTAGGATGCCATGAACAAAAGTCATTTCAGTAAAATCTTAAGATAATGCTTCTCAGGAAAAAAAAAAAAGTGTATAAACTACACTTTTCAGTATCCTACAGAATGCCAAAACTTCTGAGATCCTTTGCTACTTTTTAATAGAGACTAATAAATTGTAAGTACCACTTATCTTTAATATTTACAGGTACCTTATGACTTGTACAATGCATTTCTTTAGTGGTGACATAGATGGACCAGTGGCCGAGTTTCTCAACGCCAACAAAACAGGATGTTGTCCAAGATCTAAAAGATGCGGCGAGGCTGGAAGAAACCGCCCGATGTACTGCTCAGTAACATTCCCCAGCAATTGATTCAAATAGGCATTTGGATTTTGAGACTGACAACACACAATACACATGCCCTACAAGGAAAGAAAAGTGCGAAGGACATATTAAAAGGTACAGTAAAAAGATATTTAGCAACCGACTACTTTAGTCCCCTGCATTGATACTTCTGTCAGAACTAGTAACTGATCACAATCCACAAGGACACGGCCCACTGTCAGTAGACGTTTATATGACGTTCAGGAAGCTGCCGAACTTGGTACCACCTATGCTGCGGTGTCTAACCAAACGTCTTGTCTGTGGGCACACCAAGGAGGCAGGGGAAAGTGCAAGGAGACGAAGGAAGTCCTTCTTTCTCTCCTCCGCGGAAAACTTGACCCCCACACTCAGCAACTACAGATATTTGTAATTACAAAATTATAAAATACATTTTTAGGTCAGTATTTTTAAGGTAGGGCACTGATCATTTGTCTGAGTAAGACTANTGTGGCATGTGCAAGTACTTCGCTCCTTCTTACAGCCAAATAATATTCCATTGTATGGATATATCGCAATCCATCTGTCAGGTGATGGGCAGTCTACCTTCTGGATATTATGAATAATACTGCTGTAGACATTAATATACAGGTTTCTGTGTGGACATATACTTTTATTAATCTTGGGCATATACCTAGGAGTGGCATTGCTAGGTCTCATGGTAGCTGTGTTTAACCATTTGAGAAACTATAGACTGTTTTCCCAAGTGGCTACACCATTTTATATTCCCAAAAGCTGTAAATGAAGGTTCTGATTTCTCCACCTTTTCACCAAACCTTGTTATTATCTGACTTTTTCATTATATCCAACCTAGTGAGTACGAAGAAGTGGTACCTCACTGTGGTTTTGATTTGCATTTCCCTGACGAATACTGATGTTGAGCACCTTTTCAGGTGCTTGTTGGCCATTTGTTTATATTCTGTGGAGACATGTCTATTCAAATCCTTTGCCTATTCTTGTTATTTTTTTTTATTATTATTGAGCTATAACATTTTTTTATATATTGTAGAAACAAGCTGTGTATCATATAAACGACTTGCAAATATTTTCTCCCATTCTGTCGGTTGTCTTTTCACATTGATAGTGTCCTTTGAAGCACAAAAGGTTTTCATTTTAATTAAGTCCAATTTATCTCTGTTTTGTGGCTCTTGCTTTTAGTGTCTTAGGAATTCAACGCCAAATCCAAGGGCATAAAGATTTACTCCAATGCTTTCTTCTAACACTTTTATGGTTTTAGCTCGGACATTTAGGTCTATGATCTAGTTTGAGTTAAGTTTTGTATATAATGTGACGTAAAGAGACACGTTCGTTCTTTTGCAGGTAGTTATTCATCTGTGACCTAGCACAATTTGTTGAAAAGACTATTTTCCACTTATTAAATCATCTTGGCACCTTTGTCAAAAACAAAACAAAACAAAGGCCACAGATACATGGATTTATATCTGAACCCTCAATTCTACTCCATTGACATGTATCTTTATGCCAGTACCACACTCATGAGTACTGTGGCTTTGTACTAAGTTTTAAAATTGCAAAGTGTGAGTCTTACAACTTTCTTCTTTTTCAAGATTGTTTTGGCTATTCTGGATCTTCTGCAATTCCATGTGAATTGTAGAATCAGCTTGTCAATTTCTGCAAAGAAGTCTGCTGGGATTCTGGTAGGAGTTGCACTGAATTTGTAGATCCATTTGGGAAAATAATCTGAACAAACAGAAAAACAACTCTTCCCAGACACATCAGAGAATTGAGGTCATGAGGCAAACTGCTACCCTCCAAACTGAGTACACAATGACTTGTCAAATTCAGTTTAAATACTTTGATGAATATTAGCTCCAGCAGCAGGCTTCTGGCCCTCGTGAGGTCTCTTCAGTTCTAATTGATCGAATAGATAGCTTTTTGTTCAAAATAGTAATACTTGGTGATTATCCCTTATGGATAAGTGAAATGAACAACAATATTATAAGGGACCAGAGATAGGAATTGGGAACACTCTGTTCAAAGGTACCAGCTCTACCATGAAAGAATATAGTGTTATTTGAAAGTAGAATTGGATTGGTTTAATTTTTATACTACAAATTCTGGGGCAACCACTAAAAATAAAAAGAGTTTGAAAGGAGTAGCTTTGATGTGCTAAGAGAGGAAAGAAAATGGAATTACATAAAGTACTCAGTTAACGCTTCAGAGAAGGCGGAAAAAGAGTAGAATTTGACAAAGAACAAGATGATGAATAGAAAAGTTACATACATGGTAGATTTTAGTGTGATTATATCAATAATCACTTTAAATGTGAATTGAATAAATAAAGCAATTAAATGAGACAGTCAGATAACGGATACAAAAATAAGGCCCAACTGTATGTTGTCTACAACTGTGTCTACTTTAAATATAAAGACACAGATAGATTAAAGGGAAAGAGAAATATATATATAATGCTAACACAATTAAAAACAAAACAAGTAATTATATTAATTTCAGACAAAGCCGACTTCAGAATTAGTAGAATTATCAGGGATGAAGAGGTATGTTATACAATGACAGACCGAGAAGAACTGCTTAAATCTGATGAAGACCATCTATGAAAATCCTACAGCTAATCTCATACATAATGATGAAAGATTAGATGCTTTCTCTTAAGATTAGGAACAAGACAACGATGTTCACTCTTGCCACTTCTATCAGCACTGTACCAGAAGTTCCAGTCACGGCAAGAAAAAGAAATAAAAGGCATCCAGTTTGAAAAGGAAGAAGTAAACTATCCCTATCACAGGTGATATGATTTATTTATAGAAAATTCTAAGGACTCTTCTAAAAAGTTATTAGAATTAATAAAAAAGCAAAGCTGCAGGAGAAAAATTTAAAATATAAAAACCAATTGTATTTCTACATACTTTCAATAAATATCCTGAAAATGAAATTAAGAAAATAATTGCATTACAAGACCATCAAAAAAGAACTAGGAATAAATTTAACAAAAGAGAAATACAAAGTTATAATCTGCAAACTCCCAAACATTGTGGAAAGAAATTAGAGAATATCTAAATAAATGGAAAAACATGCCATTTTCATGGATTGGAAGAGTTAATATTGTTAAGGTGGTGAAACTCCCCAAACTGATCTACAAATTCAGGGCAACTCCCACCAGAATCCCAGCAGACTTCTTTGCAGAAATTGACAAGCTGATTCTACAATTCATATGAAATTGCAAAGGACCCAGAATAGCCAAAACAACCTTGACAAAAAAGGGAGTTGGAAGACTCACACTTTGCAATTTCAAAACTTGGTACAAAGCAACAGTATGGTAGGTCACAGATTGATAGCTACATGCATAAGAATGAACCCTCCAACTATTATTGTTGTCTAGTTCTCCCTTCATATCTCTTAGTTTTTGCTTCTGTTGTTAGGTACATGTATGTTTTGTTAAATCTGCCTGATGGATTGACTCTTGTATCATTATATAATGTCTCCATTTCTAGGAACATCATTTGGCCTAATACCTATTTTGTCTGATATTAGTATAGCCATGCCACCTTTTTGTGGTTACAGTTTGCATGATGTATTCTTTTCCATCCATTTACTTTCAATCTTTGAATCTGTTTCCTGAAGATAGAATTAGGCCTTTATCAAAAAAATCCATTCTGATAATCTCTGCCTTTTAACTGGCTTGTTCAATCCTTTAACAAATAATGTTACTATTGATATAGTTGGATTTACATCAGTCATTTTACTTTTTGTTTTCAAAATGTCTTGTGTTTTTTGTTCCTCTACTACTTTGGAGTCTTTATCTATTAAATCCATTATATGATCTCACTTGTAGCTCACATTATATCGATCTCACTGGTAGCTTCTGTTGCTTGCTTTTTTCCCAGTGTATGGATCATACTTCTGTGTTTCTTTGTATATCTTGTAAATTTTTTGTTGAAAACTGGACTTTTTTTAGTACAGTAAAACCTTGGATTGCAAGTAACTTGGTTTGTTAGCATTCTGCAAGACAAGCAAACATTTCTAAATACATTTTAACTTGGTAAACAAGCAATGTCTTGCAATACGAACAGTTTGTTTCCGGAATGAATTATGCTCGCAAACCAAGGTATGACTGTACCTCTTCCTTCTCCCGTCCCCCAGTGTGAAGCCTCTAACATTGCTCCCCAGGTGGTGGCATCACCTTGGGTGTGCCCACAGTTTCCATTGGAACACAGTGGTTTCCACAGTACTCTCTAGGTCCCTTTCCCTGACCACATCCAGCTCTTGAGCTCCACTAATTGCTGGCTGATTATACTATTGTTTCTGAGAGTGCCCTGGGACATAAATTGCTTTACAGGCTTATCTAATCAAGTGTTGGCTTTTTGAAAGAAATAGTTTCCGAGGTCAGTGTTTGAGATCTGTTCTGACCTGAGGGTTCTATCCAGCTGTCTCTTTTACCAATTCATCACCAAACTAGCTGGCCTGAAGATTAGCTTGTTTCTCCAAGGACTCTATTATTCTTCTACTTACTGCATTTCACCACAAACACCACAGTTTTTGGCAACACCCTTAGGCTGGAACTTTCCCACACTCAGTTGCATATGATGTCAGTTCCTTAGGGAGAGAGTCAGAGTTCCAGGCAAATCTCAGAGTGCTGGGACAGGGACAACGGTGACACACCCGCTTCAGAAGCTGAGTGCTTGTGGAAGGAGGGGCAGCAGCCCCAGGTCCTGTCCCCTTGCGCCTCTAACCCCCACCTCTAAACTGTAGCAAAAAGCATCAGCACCCCTATATTTCAGTGGTGTAGAACCCAATGTGCTGTGCTGCAACCATGCCATGAGTGGGGGCTGCGCAGAAGAATGGAGTTGCCTGGAATGGAAACTTAGCCTCAAGTAGTATTGGGCAACATGAGAAATACTGATATCCGGCTTCTCCCAGGATGATAGCCCTCCTACTGGGAGCTGGGGAGAGAGGGAGCCCTGTTCTTGGGTTTACCAGTCTGGAGGAGAGTTTCTGTCTTACTGAGCTCCGAGAAGAGAAGGAAGGTGTGGTGTTGGTTCAAATACCACAGATTCTTGCT